GCAATAAAATCTATAATAGTCAACCGATTTGCCGGGAAAGAAACCTCGAAGTTTATAAGGCGCTGTAAATCACTGGAGTGGTTTTCCTGCTATGATCATCACCTGAAATCGTTTGCATAAGTAGAAAGTTTCAGATTTTCAACACTTTTGCTATAAGGTGTCTCTTACTTATTTTAGACGGAACGGTTTCTCTCTTAATCGAGGTTTCCCCTTATCTTGCTCATTCGCCCTCATGCGATGTTTCTGTTCTTTCCTGAGAAGCTAACGAGCGGGAGAGAGAGACTTGTACTCAGCCAGTTTGTAGTATGGGGCAAACCTCATTTTCTGAATTTTCCCATCTACTGAGTTTCCATGTACCCGTAAAAGAATAGAACCACTCTTTCCGTGGTCCTGCTATTTAACCCTTATTGTGCGTCGAAGCTAACGCCGCCGTGGATGGTCGGTCGTGATTGGTATGGTACATCGTTGAATCAACAGTCTCCATGCGATACAGCAACACCGATCTGACCGAAACAAGGAACATACAGATGTTTGTGGAAGGACTGTTTTTTCTCAGTCCAAATATGGGAAAGGATATCACTAGAGATTGCAATGAGGGTAATGCACTGATTTGAATCTGATTACATAGTGTCATCCTATGGAGGTAACTGAACCGATATGCTGAGTGGTGAATTTCATGCACTCTTTCGTTTCACTGCTACAGTTGTGGAGCAACCAAGATATTTTTGAAATCTTTAATCGTATTTCTTTCTCAACGAAGGCGGAATCGCTGGTGGCATGACTTTACAACGGATTTGAACAGACGAAAAATGCGTTGTTTCATTTGTCATACTGTTTATACTGTTCGCTGTCATGCTGTGCATGATGCGAAGGGGAGAACCGCTCGCTTCTTGTCGTCGCTCATGAAAGTTCGTAGCTGGCGCCGTTTAACTAGTTGATTTTCAGGATGTTATGCTACAGTACGCTATGAGAATGATCGATTACTTCGAACTCGCGCAGCGGTTACTCAGATTCGATGAGCTTAT